ATCACTGGTTAATTTACATCACAAATTGTTTTATTTACAAGCTAATTTGTATGGTAAAAGATCTTTTTTGGACCCATCTGATGTTTCTGTTCATTCTTCATATATTTGTTCCTCTCGTCCTCAGAGTGCTCGGATCTCTCCAGAACTTCGAGGCCTTCTCGGAAGCCTTCCAGTGCCCGACAGGCAGCCCCATGAACCCTGAGCAGAAATGCCGCGTCTGGTAGAAATCCCAAAGCTCTTTACCTTCGGCAACTTAAATCAAAAGAAACAAATGATTCAGAATTTATCTGATGCAGAGCGATGACTCAAACTTAGATTCAGACGTGTAGATGTAAAAAACCTGTAAGATATCCTGGACTACACCCTTGTTTCCTACTTACCTGAGTCTCCCTCAAGCAGGAAGAGTCGTCTGTTGCTAACGGAGGTCACCTGTTCTTTTTCTTGTGCCCTACTAATAAAACCAAGTGGGTAGATGAATGAAAAATCTACATTTAAAAACATAAACCCTCCTGAGAGGGTTAAAGCCTAAAGCTTTTGATGAACAAACCATTAAAAAGTATATTTTATATACATCTTTTTGATTTATCTGGAAACATCTCAGCACAAAGTTGGCTTTGTTTGGTCTGATGGATTGATTCTTAGGACATTCACAAAAAAAAAAAAAAAAACAGAATAAATCTCTTTTTTTAAAGGGTATGAAATAAATGAAGGGAGCTTTGCTAAAGTAAAGCTGCAGTGAATTAAACACACTCGGAGGGTTTTGGTCACTGTAACGTGAAAACAAATCATCTAAAGACTTTAAGACTGTTAAATCTTTGCAGCTTTAAGTTTTAAATTAGCATCAATACAGAGCTGCAGCTTTACATATTTTTACACTAACTGTTTCTCCGTTTCTGCAGACAATTGTTTGCCGAAATTTACTGCAAAAATCAGCAAGAAACCACATTTCACTTTTTTTGGAAGACGCTTGCAGCCTGCAGCTTCAAAGCTTGTTCAGTACCCCTAAAAGTCGTAGATTATAAGTGAGAGGTTCTCCCAGTTTGGACTTTAAATCAAAGTAAGTCCAGATGCTTGAGGGTGGACACCTCCCACTTATATGTTTTATTCATTCACACTTGGCTGAACAATTAAAACTTCTGTTCAGCTGCCAGATCATCTAACTTGTATAATATCTGCTACAGAATCCCAGTTGATTTGTAGGGAAGCTTCTCTCCCGAGAGGAAACAGGATCACAGGAGTTTTAGCCTCGGTGTTCGGCCGCTTACATGAAAGGAATCGGAAACTCCTGGTGTTGAAGTCTTTTGCCTTCTGATCTCGCGCTGATCAGCTCTGTAAGATGAAAGGAAAGCAGAAGTGTGCCTAAATGAGGGTCTGCTGCCGCCACAGGCAGCGACTCTGAGGATTGTTGCCATTAAGGAGGCCGGCCAGGACCAGGACTGTTATTTTCTACCCTTATTAACAGGTAATGACTGGAGAATCAAACCCGAACCAACATCATATTTCAGATGCTGGCTGAGCAGAACTTTGAAACGCAGACAATAGACAGCTGGTTAGGCTATTTGCTATTGGTGTTAAATTTAGGATGCCTTGGTAAACTGAACATGACTGTTAGGTCTCGACAGAGGCTGCATTATTGAATGTGAACGCTGACAATTTATAGTCCGTCTCTTAGTCTTCACCTCCTGGCAAATACTGTTGTGACACGCATGAGCGGGAAGGGAACACAGAGGTCCTCGTAAAAGCTGATGTGTGTACAGCTGAGTATCAGATGCATCTCAGTAAATCAGTTTATCATCGTAAAGGTACTTTATTTTAGTAATTAAGTTCATAAAGTGGAACCTTTATAAATTTTAATTGCTCAGAGAATGGCATATTTCAAGGGTTTGTGTTAAATTTGATGTTTATTACAACTAATCCATCGACTGTACCCACTTAGCAGAGACAGAGGCACGCGTGCGCAGTCTATCTCCTGAAAGTAAAATACAGAAACCATTTAGACTACTTAGCATCTAAAATACCCAGAGAGAACTCATCCAGGATAATGCAATGCCTGAAAATGTTAATAAAGAAAAAAAAATTCACAAACCTTAAAGATTGTGCTTATCCGTGTTACTTTGCATCTTTTTTAAATCCTGTTTTCCTTCCACTAAACTTTACACTACTATGTGTGAATGTGACAGCCTTGGATGTGAAGGCGGTCTGTGTCTTCCCCTTTATTTTTTAAGCCATAACATAAAATAATTGTGTTAAATATTTTATTGGTCTTTTAAAATAGTGTAAGTTTGTCCAAAGTTTGAATTTAATTGCTACAATTAACGTTTCAGTGATATTCTAATGTACTGAGATGCACCTGCCAAGTTAATGTTTGAAATTTGGGAAATATTATCCACTTAAAATATAATTATATTTTAAATGAATATTAAAAATGGATGGATGTTTACTCAAAACATTCATATCTGATCTGATGCTGGTTGGTGCAACTAGAGAGAAATGTGTCGATCTTCAAAGAAAGTTTTGTTTTTTCCCAAATCTTGCCACCAAAACTTCAATGGGTTTACTGATGATGCTGCGTAAAGGGGAATAATCCAGATGTTTTATCAACCATTTGTTTGTTAGATTTTCAAAATACCAAAAAAATACAGCAACTTCCACAGTTATTGTCCACATTGTGTAAAAATCCTTCCCTTGAATTTACATTTATTCTGGTTGCATAACCTTCCACTAAGAAAGAGCAAAAAAACAAAAAAAAACTCTAATATAACAACATTTAATTAGTTTGTGAAAAAATGTATTTTGTAAAATATAAAAAATTTTAGTTTTGGTCATTTCTTTTAAATATTGTAGAATCCATGAGACATTATTCTATTTTTCTTCTACTCTGTAGAAGAAAAATAGGCCCACAGCATCACAGATCCTCCACCATACTTTACTTTGGGCATCAGCATCTTAGCCTCACGTGAGTAAAGTCCCGCTTTTAAATTGAAGTCCCCATAGTGTTTAGCAAATTCCATATGGTTGCGTTTATGATGGTAGGACAGAAAATATATTTTGATGGCATAAAATTCATACAACTGCTATCGTGGTAATTTGTGATAGGACTGCTTCAGAGAGTTTATTTTTCTCTTATCCTCCTCATTTGGTGTAAAATCAAGATAAACTTGCATTCTAATACGCCTACAAACTAGCAGCTAAAGAAATATACTTCAATATATTTAAACCCCAGGGAAGCAAAGTATATAAAGTATATTTTCGGTGTGACTTTTTAGACTATGTCCAGTCGATGTTAATTTCAATGAAAGAAGATGTAGGTTGCGCTCTCCATGTTGGAGAGTTTGTTTGACCCTTTATTTTTGTGATCCATGAGTAAAGAAACTCCTTCCTGTCTGGAGTTTGTACAGGTGCAACTGAACACATTAATCTTTAGAAAGGCTGGCTCTTTGTTCTAGGCTATGCTAACCATCAACCAGCACCAGCTTCAAGAGTAAAAAGCAACCTTCTGATTAACTAAACTTACAAATATTTTCCAAACTGTCAAGCAGTTTCTTTAAAAGGAGAAGCTTGTTATGGATGGAGGCTACATTTGAAGTTGTGATGCAGCTTTGGATTGCTGGCAGAGGATCAACGAGTTCGATTCTTGTATATTTTTCCTTAAAAGCAGTGCAAATGTTCTTAACTGAACACAGAGTTTATATAAAGAAAATGTGTCATTGTTGATTGTGAATGCCTGAGCCAAATCAGGTAAAATAGTTTTAAGTTTTAAATTTACTTAAATGGTGAAAATGTTGCATTGAAATCAAGTACAAATGCCTTTATTTTCTACATACTGTGTTAATCTGTTTCATCTGTACACCCTTCAAAGACGATTATTTATCTAAAGAAATATTTATCAAGTAAAATTGTTGCTTTGCAAGACTTCAGATGAAAAAATGTTTCTATGAATGTTCCTGCTGCTATGTAATTATCTAGACGGCTATTTTTGTGACTCAGATCTGTAATTATTGCTATTAAAGTGACTGTCTCCACTGGTGCAATATCACGAGTCTGCTTGATACGTCTGGTCTTTATACATTCATTTTAATGAACAAATACCAGAATTAAGAAAGAAAGACAAAACAGATTTCAATCTTTTCTGTGCTTGATTCATTGGTGGCTCTGGATTCACTTCCAAACACTGTAATTAGCAATAATTACCTGCAATTTAAAAACTTTCCTCACATTTGATATGAGCTACATCCTGCATAATTCATCTTTTCTAGAAGAATGTTTCTTTGTGTCCAAAGTTGTAGTTTGGACAGTGTCAATAAAAATAATCTCATTTTGTAAAGGCAACAGTAAGGAGAAGAGAACAAGAAGAATTCAGCTGCATAATCCATAAAATAGTCAAGGCACTCATCAATAATCAATAACTGAAGAAAATGTGGGATAACAGCAACATTAAAGAAAATGGATGTTTTCATACCAGTTTGCCACGAGCCTGAAAACAACAATGAGGAAGCAGCAGGCAGCTAGCAAATGCTAATTGTGTTCTACATGAGGCAACGTTCTTTACTCTCTATATGTCAGTCAAAATACATGATCTCAAAAATCTCCAACAACCTTGTTGAAAAAGGTATCGGTGTTTGATGAAACAAAATATTTGAGCAATAATTAAAAGAAAGTTGTGGTTTGCACAGAAACAGCATCTAATCTCTGAAAACGTTACAAAACAAAATATCTTAAACTGACTTCAAGTGCTCAATATCTGGAAGTATGACCAACGCGGACTGAATGGCTTCGTTCGCTTCTTCCACCGCCACCGTCAAACCACATTTCAAAACAAAGAAATCGAGTTCAATGGGAGAAATCCAGACTGAACACTGAGGGGAGATGAGAATCCGGCAGAACTGCAAAGGAGAGACATTTGTTGTGAATTGGTGGAGAATAAGCAAACTGACATGAGCTGAACAAATGAAACCTCCAAGAATGATGTCGAATTATTTAAGGGAGACACAAACATCATAAAAATGTAAGACTTTCTGTCGAATGATTTATTATTGATTGCAAAAATTATTCTTTACAGTTAAAACAAATGTAAGAAAGTAGTTTGGTTAGATGCCTTGTGATCCAAACTAAAAAACTGAAGCCAAAGAGAGACTTCCAAGTGGAATCACTATCAGACATACAAAATAAAACGTCCTTCATAAACTGTTTTAAGGTGTATAAAGTCACAATAAATCATAATTAGTGTAGTATTAGTTTCTTCTGAGTCACATACATAATCAAAAAGAGTTTCTATGCACCATAAACATACAGGTAAAGCATTAGCTGCATGTTGATTGAGCTTTCACAAAAGACGTTGGAGTTACTGCAGTATTATCAGTGTTATCGTTCCTCTTCCTGTATGTTGGTGACTCAGGCTTTCAGGTGAAGCTCACTGCTGCTGCTGCTGCTTCATCGTGTACAAACGTCATCATTGCACTACAAGAGGGGTCACAAAAAAGCAGACGAATAATGAGCTTTACATTTACAACCCTTACCCTTTTTCTTTGCCAAAATAATTTTGAAGACAACGTGTTTTACACACAAACGTTAATGTTTTGTCAGTAGTCAAGACCCACTAGTTTGTTTTGTGTCAGTCAAATACATGTAAAAAAGTATATGTTTATTAACCAATTAGAAATGAGAAAACTGAGTGAGTATAACCTAGCTTCTCAATATTATAACATTTTATTTTCCAAAGGAAGAAATTAAACCTCTTATTTTCAGTGTTTCTAAAGGTGAGAGGAAGGTACATGCTGAGCAAAGGCAGCATCTTTAACTGAGTCTGAATCTCCTTCCAAACTCAAAACAGTTTTAGCTTGTGACTTGCTCTGGTTCCAGACACATTATGACCCCTGAGAGGAAACAAGGTCTATTCAGTTCCCAGTGACATCTGTTAGTCGTCAGACAGGTCATGAGGGTACGCTGCAACAGCTCCGACATGGGGGCTTTTGTTGGAAACAGGCAGCGGAGCCAGGAAGCAAAATGGCTGAAGTAAACGTGGTGAATTTATTTGACATATCAAAATATCCAATGATCACAGGACAATCTCCATAAAGCTCTGGACTTGAGGAGTTAGCTCAGTGATCCAGAGCAATTACAACAAAACACAGAAGATGCTTTTCAGATATAATTTCTACTTCATGGCACATTAGACGTTGACATCACAGACACACAATTGATAACGTGGATCATTCTGTGAACTACAAGATCCAGACGCTTGTGGTTTTGTAACTGCGGTCAGATGAACATACATTTGCACCCCAGTTACAGATTTCTGTTTCTGCTTTTTTGTCACATTTCTACTCATCAAATGAAATTTAACACAAAGATGAACTGAAAAACATCAGTTTTTGATGTGTTTTTTTCTTTTTTGATGATTTCATGTATTGATGAAAAAAACGATTTAAGTATAAAATGTAAACTGCATCTCTCATTGTAGCCGTGTGATAACTTAGGAGGATCCAAAACCAATTTCGCTTTGCAGACTTTTTTCACAGGTGACGACCGTGATGCAGCATCTCGACAAGATTCAAGTCCAAACTTTGACTAGGCCACTCCAAAACCTTCCTTTAGTTTGCTTTTGAGCCATTCAGTTGTGGACATTATAATTATATTTATTTTATAAAGATAAGATATACAATGAAAGTTAATCATAAAAGCATTATTGTAGAGTCCGAAATTTGCTGACCAGTAACTAAGAACTCCCCAAATCAAATTTTTTATAAGCAAACAAAGTGATCTGATGTTTTAAAGTAATATATATATATTTACAAATAAGTCCAAATTCTCCCAAGACAAATTTATAATAATTTCTATGCTATACAAGTTCAACACACAGGAACATCACTCAAAAGAGGACGATAAAGTCTGCATTTCTGATGGAGTAAATATCAATTCAGATGCTGCAAGATGTGTCAGTCAAATTCCCACCAGAGGTGAGAATAAATTGTACTCAAGTAAGAGTAGCATTACTTCTACAAATTTTTACACAAGTAAAAAGTAGCCATCCATGAAATTACTCAAGTAAAACAGTATTTGGTAAAAAGTCTATTCAAGTACTGAGAAACTGATCAAATTATGAATCATTTAATATTTAGAAATTACACAATCAGATGAAACAAAATATAAAGGTAAGAAAGGAAAATGACAATTATTCATATTAGTAATGAATTGTCATAAATAATAAAAATAAAAACTTTTTTTTTTCCACATCAGTTTCTATTATTAAAAAACTTATGAAACTTTAATGAAAACTGCAGGGGTGTGTCTGTATGTGGTGAATTGTTGGTTAAAACATGTTTGTTTCTCGTTCAGTGGGGAGAAAATCCCAAAACCTTACTGAAGTAAGAGTAGAAATACTCCATAATAAAATTAACCAAGTAAAAGTAAAAATTGCAGCCCAGTAAAAATACTCTGAAAAGCAATTAAGAAGAAAGTTACTCAAGTTAATGTAACTGAGTAAATGTAACTAGTTACTACCCAACTGTGACCACCAGCATGTTGCTATGCCACACACACATTTAATGTGTGTGTTCATTAATGTAATGAATGTAACAGAATATTCCAGTTGTTCACCATAAATATAATCAACTAAACCAGTTATCATTTAGCTCTATAATACAGCTCCTGATGCCTCAAAAAGAGTCTTTAGACAAAAACATTTATTTTATGAGTTTAGTTTTCATGTTGTTCTGCTCCTCTGGTGAGACCTTCTCTTGTGTTTTTAAGAACAGAGTTCATCACTTCAGTGTAAAAGCTTTCCAGATCCTGACAGACCACTAGGATCAACTAACAGGTGTGAAATTGCCTGCGAAGAGACATCTCAGCTGCATCAGTATCTGTTGACGTAAGAGAGTCACACGCTTTCCCCCCCTTTTCTTTTTTACCGTGTAGTCACACTATATTGGTTTAGCAAATGAAGAGGCCTCACCACTGGCTTCTGCCCGGCTTTTACTGTGGCTGAGATACCGAGAGCCGTGGAGATGTCGTCCAGAGGTACAAAGTCTCCCGGTGAATCCTGGATGAAGTGGAGCAATACCTTTTCTCCACCTTAACAGCAAAAAAAAAAAAAAAAAAAACAGAAGTCAATGTCCATTAAATAGCTTCCTAGCTTTATTGTTAGAACAGATTGTGCAGCTTTTAGATTATTAAAATATTAAGAAGCACAGATTTTATGTTGAGTATGTGGGAGAAATAATATGAGCATATATAGTCACAGCAACAAACACAAAGAAATCATCATCCAAGATACCTAAAACTAGCAGAAAAAGAAACTTCGATTTTGCTTTTCTAAGAAATAAATGAGCCAACAAATTAATACTTTATAATTTATTTATGTCTATTCATTTTATTGCTTGTTCAATAGGAACAGACACAAGACCCATAGATCAAGACCATCTAATGCCTGCATCACAGTTTTTATAGTCATTACTATGGCAGTTATAGAAGGATATTTAATTGTTGATTTAAATTAAAAGTTAACATCAACGCAATAAAATTATTTAAAGAAAAACAACAGCAACAATGTATTTAAAGCTACAATTACAGCATTTAAAAAAATCTTGTTCTGTTTCATCATAAGCCAGTTCTTAAGTCTTGAAATTGATAATTTCAGTTATGGTCTTAAAATGGGATAGTAATGATGCCAAACCTTACAAAACCTGTAATAGAAGGCAAGTCCAAAGATTTTCCTACAAAATGGTATCTTACAGTCTTGATTTGTGATGCTTTTAGTAACTCTAGTGCTGTTCTGTCTCTCAACAAATGTAAAATGTTTCAGGTGCTACACCCTTAATGCATTTGTTATATTTTATGACACATCGACTGCTTTATTCCTGTATGTTTTTATGTTCTGTTATAACATACATACTGGCAGAATCCCATCATTTAGTGAGAAGCTGGACTGTTTCCATAAGGGAGCTTTGGTGGAACAAAGACAAAATTGTGCAGCTGCACAGGACAAAATGATCTGCGATTTAAACTCCTTTCCGTCGGGGCAAGCCGCCCTGCAGCTCCGTGAGAGAGAGTATCAGTAAATTAACCAAGAGGAGCGGCGCAGCAGTCGTCTATTTTTGGCCCCTGGTGTTTATCCTGATCATGCAGATCACCTGAATCAACAGCAAAATTATATGTTTCTCTTGTTTAAAGGGACTTTGTTCACCATTTTTACAAGTAGGTGATGTTATTTATTTGTATCTGTGATTTCAACAAACATCAGCACTTTGTGTGGAATCATAAATGAGTTCCTTCAAAACTGAGCAAGATGTAACAATGATTCAGGAACAAGAAATGAAGGTAGTCTTCCTACTGAGCACTAATGGATAGAGAATAGTGGTTCTACTGATTAAAAAGTATGATACACTACTGCCCTCTAGAGGTCAGACAGCAAACGTGCATTTTCAAAGTTTTGCCAAACCGAGTTTAAATCACAGGGTAAATTTCTCCTGTGTTAGTGTCAACCTGTGGGATGATCATCAGACCTTTTGAGTGAAATCTGTGCTCTATTTTCACATATACATGAAGATTATACCTTTTGTCACAATGATCAAGCCACCACTCTGCAGCAGATCTCCTGAGAAGTTTCCCTGGATTCCTACAGCGCTGGCCTGGAGGAAGCAAAACATGGTCAGAAAAAGTTTAAATAACTGCACACTGTCTTATATCTAATGACTATAATATGAACAACATGAGCACTCAAGAATAGCAGATAACTGATTTTTTTATTTTCCTTTTTTCTTTATGAATAGACGTACCTTTGAAGATATATCTCTCACTTTCTTCCCTAAAGCAGCAGGAAGCACGCTTAAAGCTGTGTACCTGGAAAAGTAAACAGACACAAACTCTTTACTCGAGTCAATCACAAATTGCAGAATCTAACTGTAGTTCAAGAGACCTGCACTTCAATCACAGGTTCAAGTGGTTTAATAAAGTGTTAACTTGATACAGACACATACAAATTAATATTTAACTTTTTACTTATGGAAAAAAAACAACAAATCAATTATCCTCATATGTGAGCTGCTACATCATATTGTATTGAAAATGTACACATAAAATCTACACAGAGTACACTGACGTTTAAAGTTGTAATTAAATCATTTGCAGAGTTTAAGATAGAGTCTAAGAAATTCAACCTGATTATTCTGCAGTTAGTGTCACAGGTTTAGAAATAAAAACAGTATTTTCATTTATCTAAACACAGACTTTATGCGCTCACCGTTTGAATCCCAAATCCTTGTAACACTTCTTTTCTTCATCCACATAAATGGCTGAAATAGAAGGTGACAAATGATGTTTCATACTATTTATGCAACAGGAGTGGCTGTAGAAAACAATGAAGTCAATAAAAATGCCTGTTTGCCCCCGTGACCTGCCCATGGGGATTTCTGTGTTACAAAAGAGTGCATTAAGGTTACAATGACAGCTTCAGCCTGGAAATGATGTGAGTAGCTCTAACCTCGGCTTAAATGTGGCCACATTTGATCTCACATGCAGTTTTAATTTGACCATTTGGGGCCATATTAGCGTGATGTGAATAAGTGGTGCTTACAGCCTTTAAAAAACCCTCCTTCCTTGAACTCCTGGAGCCCGAGCTCCTCTGGTCCCACTCCCACCAGGGAGACCCCGTTGGCCCTGAGGTCAGGCTCCAGCTTGCTGATCTCTGACGCCATCCATCGGCACACCTGGCAGCCGAACCTGCGCAGAAAGAACACAACCACAGGCTGGTTCTGCCACAGAGCCTGGAGCTCCACTTTCTGAAACACAGGGAGGGAAACCAAACCCCACAATGAAATGAATGGGAAGCAGGTGAGAGAATTTGGTAAACTGGTTGATGGATTCAGTTCTCAGTTAAACCAGTGATTTAAACACGTCATTGTGTCACAGCAAATTCTCCTTATGCAAAACCTACGAGTGTTTCATCTCCTTTAAGTGTTAAATTCAAGGAAACAGTTAACATAGCAGCAGCAAAAGTTACATAATTAATAGAAAACCAACAACATCTGAACAGACAGACAGGATTTACACAGAGCTCACCTCCCCACTGTCAGCGCTCTTCAATAAGTTCTTTCCCACTTTAGCCAGATCGACTTTAGCCATTTTTCCTCGGGTCTTTACAACAGAACCGGTTCAGTAGAAATTCCACGAGAAGTGGACACCAGTGTTGCCGTAAACACTTCCTACGCCCACTGCACTCTCACAGCAGTTACCAAACACCTTCTTCCTGAAACGCCCACTAAATCTTAGCGTCCAATGAAGCTCAACCGATTCTGAACGTTCAACCAATCAGAACGCGTGGTGAACTATCCGAAGGCGGGGCTTGATGACGACAGACTTCGTTACATGATTTCTTTACAATGAAATGAAATGCTTTCTGTCTTTACAGGGTTGTTTTATGTTACTCAAGATACGCATCAGTACAGATTTTATTCATGACTCACCCACTTTCCTGTCAATTCACAATTTATAGGTTGTAGTTTAAACTTTAACTCTTGAGCAAATATATATTTTTAAAAATGACCTTTTCACAACATAGATTGCATAAGTTTTACTACAGGTGGGCTCAAAGGTGATGGGTTTTTACTGCCTGGCCTTTGTTACATGCTCGAGTTAAATAAGATGTACATTTTATTACCTCTTTACATGTTTGTCCTGCTTTAAGTTGCTTGGTAGCTATTCATGTTTGATCATCAAAGATGAAGGGAAAAGATCACCTCTAAATATTGCTGCCATTTTGTTTTGCAGTTTTTTTTCTTTTTTTGTATCTATTCAAAGCATAAACAAGATAACACCTGTGATACATGTGATGTACTTCAAAATAAAACCTAAAGCAACAATAATTATAATGATACAATTATTATGATTATGAAATAATGATTGACTTTCTTTTTATGCTGCAAGACTCTTAACTTGAACACCAATAACTTTTTACTGCAGATGAAAAGGAAAACATTCTGCTTCATATTCACAGTTTCATAATCAAATATTAGACAGAACAATAAAACGTCTGATTCATTTCAGATTCAGATTTCATTATTCCATCTCACACTTACACAGCATTTTGCTTTTGAATCAAAGTTTTACAGTAAAAAGCTTTAATTTTATTTTTTAAAAGAAAAAATCAATTAACACGTCTGGTCCAAGTTTCATGTAATGACTCGCCTTATTGACTTCTTCAACATGAAGGTGGTTGACCTCTTGCTCAGATAATCACACTAAAACTAAATTAGACATAATGAGCTGGCTATAAGAAGTGGCCCCGAATTTCTTCTGGAACAGCTAAACATGTTTCTGTTTTTGTTGCTATTTTTTGATGTGTGTAATAAAACAAACCTTTTCAAGCGGAACAATCTGCAGTAGCATGACAGAAGGAACACAGGAATAGATTTGTGTGTCCAAAGTTTCAAATTGAGGACAGACCCTCACATAAATCATGAGCTAAAAACAATGAGAACAAAACCACAATGAGAATATGTGCTGCTTTATCTACGTGCACCAAAACTTCCTGCTGCTGTCTTTGACAAAAAGTCACAATTAATCACACAAGACCTTGCAGCCATATATTTTAAGTCAATATGGAGAGGAACATGCAGAAGACAATTGTGTAGTGTGAATTTCAGTTTTGTGTTTTTGCCACAAAACGTTTTTAGTTGTTTCTTTTTTAAAGGTTCTATTGGCTTTAGTGGCCTTTATTTGATTGTGAATTGACAGGAAAGTGGGTGATGAGAGAAAGGGGAGGACATGAAGCAAAGGTCACAGGCCAGGAATCAAACCTGCGACTAAATCCTCCATGTGAGGATTGTGCTTAACCCCTGCGCCACCACAGCACCCCTGCCTTAAGTTATTTCTGCTTATTCTGTAAATGTTTCTGCTTAACAGGCAGACTTTATAAAAATCTTTCAAAGTGGTGACAAATGTATGTGAGCATCGAACAAAATTCAAGTTAAAGACATTAGCAGTATTGTTGATCAAACTTCAAATGCTTGTTTTTGTGATGGTAGGGCAGAAAAAACGTTTTTCATAGCCACAGTGGCTCCTAATATTCCTGGACAACTGAGCAGTTCTGTTTTAGAACAAATAAAGGTAATAATACATTTTCACCTAATATTACATCATTACATTTTCAAATTTTCTTTCTTCTTTTGCTCTTTAAATTGGTTTGTTATTTTATTTGCATTTCTGCTTAATTCTTGTAAAGCACTTTGAATTCTCTTGTTGCTGAAAATGCGCTATGTAAATAAAATGACCTTACCTTACCCCACCTAATGTCTGCAAATAATTTGTCAATATAGAAAATGATTGATGATACATTGGTGCATTGTGCTTTTTTTTGTGGCCTTGGGCTGCAAAGTTTTTATTTCAGTATTTTCTATAAATACAGAATATTGTATAGAAGACCATATTGATTTTTTTGACATTTGTGTCAAAGAACAGGAATGAAGCTCTGATTCATCACCATCACCACAAACCAAGTTAATAATAATAATAATTACTCAGTTAATCAATTGAAAACTGATGCTCTGGGATTGTTTAAGAGCTGGATAGATTTTGCGGCTCTGGACATTTTTTATATTATGACTGGCGAGGGGGAAATGTAAGAAGTTCTCTGGTGTCACTGTTATGGAAACTTATTGACTCCTCCAACATTGAGCTTTAAATAGTTTTTCCCTTATCAAGTTAAAGATATGACTGACAAAATAAATGAGTCTTCATCTAGTTCCTAAAAGAAATCAAATTAGAATTCCCTAAAACCTCTGATCAACTGGAAAAGAGAAAATTACCAAATAGAAAATGCTTTTTATATTTATTTCATATAAATTGACATTCTAAAAAGTATTCCTGCATCAATAATTGAAAAAAAAAATCATAAAATGGGTTTTCCACCCTAAACAGGTAAAATATGCAAATAGATAGATTTATTATAGATGTCATAAACGGATGCTGGGGCGTAGTAATCACGCAGAAGGACGCACTCTGCGTGGACGGCCAGATGCATTTGTGCTGCTGATGTTGCAGGGAGGGGCATGACGTCACAGGCGAGACCGGGAAAGGAGGCGAATGGGGAGAAAGGAAGAGGGGGAAGGAGGAGAAGGGACGCAGGAGAGAGGGAGAGCGGGGGGAAGACGCATCAAAGGAAAACAAAGCAAAAAATAATGATAATAATCATGACTCCTGTAATTAACACAACGTCTCTTTGCACACCATAATGGCTCCACTGTTTACCTACACAGTGTGCCGCAATAAATGACGAGCCGACCCTCGAAGGTAATTATCATCTTTCATCTCTGCACGCCTTTAAAAAAAATCCTCTTACACACGGTCGTGTTCACCTTTAAGACCTTTAAATGCCAAGTCGAGGGAAATGCTGAGCATCATTTGCGAAGATTTCGCGAGCAGACAACCGATCTATGGCGACGTGGATACCAACAATCCGCATATTTTTACATATTCGTTGAATTGCGAGCGATGGTGATGCATTATCCGCCTAACAGTCTCTGCTTTGGCTCCATTGTGTAAGACTTTGTCCTCCTGCATGAAAAATGAAAATGGAAACAGGCGTCATGAGAGCACTGCCGCAGAGCACACTGCTGTATCAGCCGAGAGCACATGGGCTCTGCGCACAACATGCGCACTGGATGCAGTGCGCCCGCTGATCACCGCAGTGTCCTCTCAGCAGCTGTAGCTGGAAGCACCAGCAGCACCCAAACACACTCTGATCCAAGGCTGACCCCTCAGATGAAGGTTTAAAGCAAAACACAAGCTAATCACGTCTCGGTTTCATCTTGCTGTTGCATGTTATGGTGTCCTCATGCTGCAGTGCACTCCAGCTTGAGAGACATGTCATCTCCAGGCATGGGGACCCCCACAGACCCTCTCTTGGCCAGTCCAGGAGGGAGGTCATTCTCAGCTCAGGAAGGCCTCTGGAGGACCTCGCTGCCCAAGACGGCCAGCTTCCCGACGTCCACCACGCGGCACCTCAGTCACAGAGCCAACAACTTCCAAAGACAGCCGAAGCGTAGGAAGCTGATACGACCCTCACCGCCTCCCCCGCCCAACACGCCTTGTCCCCTGGACCAGCTGGACCTCAGCGAGCTTCCCCCCAGACGCACCTTCCAGGAGCTGCTCTTCAATGGCTGCATCCTGTTCGGGATTGAGTTCAGCTACGCCATGGAAACGGCCTATGTGACCCCTGTTCTCCTGCAAATGGGCCTCCCGGATCAGTTCTACAGCCTGGTGTGGTTCATTAGTCCCATTCTTGGTGAGTGCATCACAGGGACGTAAGTGATCCACCTTAACAGGTTTTTCACTTTCAAAATAGACTAAAAATCTTGTTTTTTTTTGTGTTTGTCTTGAAGGATTCCTTGTTCAGCCTCTTATAGGTGCATGGAGTGATCGTTGCACGTCCCGGTTTGGAAGAAGGAGACCTTTTATATTTGCTCTGGCTGTAGGTGAGACATGCTCAAAGAACAATACAGTGATCCTGCTTTACATTGGATGTTGTCACAGAGCTAACAAGATGAAGAAAAGACAGGAAAGGTCAAAAACAAAGCATTAAAAAAAAAATCATAAAAATCTACCACAGTCTAGAGATTTATCTAAACTTTTAGGCAATTCTTTTGCAGAAAATGCAAAAAAAAAGCAACAAAAAAAAACTCACATACATACATTTCTATAAAGACAAAGTAGTTTCTGTGTCATTGCCAGTCTATATTTTTTTCCAGATTTATGGAGTTTAGAGTAAAAGTACACCACCTGTTGCTGCACACTGCTGGTCAGCCATGACAGAGGGGTCAGATATACAACTCTGGAAAAAAATTAAGAAACCACTAAAATAATCAGTTCCTCTAATTTTACTTTTATAGGTAAATGAGTAAAATGAACATTGTTCTTTTATTCTATGAACTACTGACAACATGTCTCCAGACAGTTTATGAGAAATAAATGGTATGCAAATCATTATCTTTAATATTCATTGTGCCAGATTATTTTAACTACAGGAGGAGTACACATTAGATTTAATGTCTTAAAATAAATATATTTTATGTTACCTCATACCAACCTGACTTTAAATATCATACACCAGTTTGTTCCTAAAAATGTAAAAAATGTTGTATTTTTTCTGCTTTTCTTCTATTCAGGGGCTTTAATGGGTTTGACCCTGGTTCTGAACGGACGAGACATCGGAGGAGTCCTGGCCGACACGGCATCAAATCACAAGTGGGGAATCATCCTGACGGTGTGTGGCGTGGTCCTGATGGATTTCAGCGCCGACTCGGCCGACAACCCGAGCCACGCCTACATGATGGATGTGTGCAGCCCGGAGGATCAGGACAGGGGGCTCAACATTCATGCATTACTAGCAGGTAATAAAGAACATTTATTTTGCTGCTGTGGTATATGTTGACTTAAGCAGAACAATAAGTGTCTTTCTACCTTAAATGTAATGTTTTGTAAAGTAAAGTTAAAGGCACAATCATTTATGCTCTGATTTAAAGTTGTTCTAACTCGTTTGCTTCTGGTGTGAAAGGAGAAATAACTTTTCTGGTTTTACTTAAAGTTTGACAAAAAATAGCATCAAGAATTATGTATAATCTTCTCCATAGCGAGTGGTAAAGCTGGCCAGATCTTTGTACATTTTGTTCTACCGCTCTCAGGCCCAGGACATTTTGTAAAAAACATTTTTAATCTCCACCAGTTTTTCATTCTGGTTACGTTAAGATTAACTGAAAAACAGAAAAAGGTCTCCTTTCCATCACCACAATCTTTAGTACTAATACTGGTTTCAGTCAGAATAATTTTTTTTTTATTTATGAAATGGTGTTGCATAAATAAACCAAATTGAAGTGAATTCAAACATGTTAAGAAAAATAATAATAGTATTGATTGATTTAAAAAGCTTAATGTTACAAAACAATTGAGATCTGAAAAGTGTGGGGGGTTTTTACCTTACTTTGTTGATTTGTAAATACATTATTCATTTGTACACTGTTTTTATTTTAGTTTTTAAAAATACTAGAATTTGTGCATAATTTTAGCTGTTTTGTCAAAACATTTAACAGAGACGAAATAAGTCAGAAATTCTGATCCAAGTTACTCAGTTCATAAGTAATTTTTCACAAAATCTTTTTATTACTCAGTACTTTCTATGATAAGGCTTTTTATTTCTACTGAAGTAAATTATTCTAAAGTAAGGCTAGTTTTAAGTACAATTATTTTCACTACAGTACTTATCTCTGTCTGCTGGTGCAAGTATGGTACATAAATCCACATTTCTGTACAGCAGACAATGAGTGGATATAAATTATTTACCATTATAAATTTATCAGTTGATATAGGAAGTGTAAAGTTCAAGATGTCTGCCAGGTGGGTGCAAATTTAGACGTGGTAGGTGAAAAATTTCACAAATTGTTTGTACAAAACAAAGCTAAACTAAACTCGTTTAGTTTGTTAAATGCATGTAAGACACAAACAACAGCAGCTAAAAGCAATAATAATTACTGTTTTAACTGGAGTGTCTCATTTTCCCGCTCAGGACTGGGAGGAGGATTTGGCTACATCGTAGGCGGCATCAACTGGGACCAGACGCAGTTTGGGACGTCCATGGGGGGTCAGCTCAGGGTCATATACCTGTTCACCAGCATCACTTTGGTGTTCGCCACCGCCATGACTCTGATGAGCATTCCCGAGAGACCGTTACCAAAGAGCCAACCAAACAGAAACTCCAGTAAGAACCATCTGAAAAGCCCCAGCCTCCCTCTGCCTATGTCTCCTCCCGTCCCCCCCGGAGCCGGTCCGGGGCTGGACGAGGAGGACGAGGACGGACTTTACAGCTACAGCTTTCCCAAGTCTCATCAAGGTAATTCTGACCCTTTGGCTCACTCTTGCAGCGCCAATGCACGCCTGTGTGCCGGCCTCACCAGCCCCATATCGCCCATGAGTCCCCTCACCCCAAAATATGGCAGCTTTATAAGCAGGGACAGCTCACTCACTGGCATCAACGAGTTTGCCTCTTCATTAGGAACCTCCTACATAGACAGTGTGCTTATAGACTGCTACACAGGCCAGCAAACGCCTCCAACCCTGGCTTCAGGCTCCACTGCCATGCCGCTGCCTACAGGAGAATCCCCTCCCTCTGAGAAGGTGGGTAACCCCCCTGCAGGGCAGCCTGAGGCTGGCGGGGGGCCCCATCAAGCTGAAGAGGCCCAGGAGGCAGAGGGGCCTCAGACCGAGGGAGATGCACAAACTCAAGGCGCTCCTGCGGGAACAGCCGGGTCTCAGTCAGGGGCCGGGCTGCACCGGGGATCCTCTGCTGGGATCCTGAAGAGACCTCAGAGTCTGGCGCTGATGGAGGAGCCCACGGCGACGCAGATTGTTGGGCTGGAGAACGGGCGGAGGAGAACAGTGACTTTCAGCCAACAGGTCGGCAACTCTTTCGAAGGCTATTTATCTGACATCTGCAATAGCATTTTAATTCTGAACTATATGTTCTTGCTTTTCTCTGGATCAGGTGGCAAATATTTTGCTAAACGGAGTGCGATACGAGAGCGATCTAAGTGAAAATGTGGAGACAGGAGAATCCCAGATGTCCATGAAGCTGCTGTGTATAGCCATCTACCGAATGCCTCCCTCTCTGAGGAGTTTATGCACTAATCATTTTTTAGGTGAGGGTCATTCATCATTAATCACTTTTGAATTTCTTGAATAAATGAATGTTTTTGTCTTTCTTTTCTTTTTATTTTCAGGCTGGTTGTCATTTGAAGGAATGCTGCTCTTCTACACTGACTTCATGGGCGAGGTTGTGTTTGAGGGAGACCCCAAAGCGCCGCACGACTCTGAAGCTTACCAGCGTTACAATGCTGGCGTCAGCATGGGCTGCTGGGGCATGTGCATCTATGCATTCAGCGCTGCTTTCTACTCAGGCAAGCAGTGAACTGAACTTTTCATGCAAGAAGAATCTTAATTTGATGGGATTCATACAAAAATAACGTCTGACTTTTGCTGTTTTTCTGTGTCTCTTTTACAACGTGCAGCCATATTGGAGAAACTAGAGGAACGTTTCTCCCTACGCACTCTTTATTTTTTTGCCTACTTGGCATTTGGTTTGGGCACAGGCCTCGCAACGCTATCCACCAACCTCTATGTGGTGCTTTCGCTCTGTGTCACCTATGGCGTGCTCTTCTCCTCTCTCTGTACGCTGCCTTACTCTCTGCTGTGTGAATACTACCAGAGCCCTCAGGTAAGCGTCTTCTGTTGTGCATAAGGCTTTTAAATGCCGCAACATGAAGCGTTGTTTAGTTAGAAATTAGATTAGACATTTTTAAACCATTGTTTTTTTCTCTCCGTCTGCATATTACATTACATTTTTTTTCTTGTGGCTCTTTTTACATTTGTTGACTTTCGACAAATTTCATTGAGCTCATTTTGATTATTTTAAATGCATTCCACATATTTGTAATAGGATTAAGGTCCATTACTTTTATTGTGCTATACACTTGCATGTTAATGTTACTTCTGGCAAAGCTGTGCCCACACCTGTTGTTTAAAAAATAGCAAAGTTTTGTGTTGTAATATTATTCCACCTTGAGAAAAGGACAGTTCGAATGCACCGAAATCCAGAATTAAATTGACATTGATGCCAAAGAGGTGTGTTTGTAAACCTTTGACAAGAACAGAAAGAACTTCTACAATGCACAACTTTCTTCTTTATGAAATTTTGAAAAAATGGAGCGGCATCAGAGTTTCGTGCTTGAAGGATTTCTCTTTTTATCTTGGGCAAAGACCACAATCTATTTCTCCTGTGGATGTTAGACACTCGTGTTTTGGTTGTATTTACCCAGAATGCTCTGCAATGTGGTGCGCTTCCTACATTTTGAGCATTCTCTGGTGCGCTTAGCATCCACACATGCATTCGAAAACGCACCAGAATTAATTTCAACCGAATGAGACCGAAGTTTTTAGGTGGACCAGTTTGCTTTTTTTAGTCTGTGTTAGAATTCACATCTCCCCAAATAAACTGGACTTTCTTGGCACAAAAATTAAAGTTAGATTAAAACAGACTAAATGGGGCTGGTGTGAGTGCACTGCGGATCTGAATCACCATCATTCTTAGTCACACATGATGCTGCAGGGTAAAAATGGATACATGTCTTATGATAAAGGCCCACCTGCTGGTGGGCTGCAAACTAAAGTCTGAAATGCTCTATAGTCAGTCAGATTTATATTTTATTGCACAATAAAAGACAAAAACTATATGTAGCGTGTACAGGCAAGATAACGCTATTTTTGTTCATTAAACTCAATTCAAATTTTATTCTGTCTTGCAGTTTTGCGGCTCGTCAGAAGAAGGGACCAGACGCGGGATGGGGGTGGACATCTCTCTGCTCAGCTGTCAGTATTTCCTGGCGCAGATCCTCGTCTCTGTGGCGATGGGACCTCTGACCTCACTGGTGGGCGGGGCTCAGGGGGTGATGTACTTTGCAAGCCTGATGTCATTCGTGGGTTGCCTGTACTCCTCCCTCTGCGTGGTGTACCAGCTGCCCCCCCCTGAGGGTGAGCCCCCCGAAAGCGAGACCCAGCCGTTACTGGCGCACATTTAGCAAAGCCTCTTCATTCACTTTAAAAACACACACACACACACACAGACCGCCACGCGCTCCCATACCGTCGCTCGGTGTGCGAGTGCGTCTACCTCCGTAGCGATGATAGTGACAGACACACTGCACATCCTGCCACACACTGTTTCAGCACAGCTTCACAGATTTTACGCTAATCCGCACTGCTCTGCTCAGAGCCAGACAGACAGACAGACATTGGCCACAACTCCAACAAGCATAAACATGACCAGTGTTCATACAGTGTGTGTGCCCGTGCTTTCTTTCCCAAACTTTCTGCAAACGAATGTGACGTTCTCTGTGAATGTGTGTGACTGAGCTGAGCTCTGTTTGTCTGATTCCTTACTGCATCGTTTTGTTGTTGCCTGTTTCTTTTGGTGTTTAGGATCGCAGTGTGAATCACTACGTGCAAGCTAACCACAGCTTTTTCCCTCTTTTCTTTCCTTTGATCAGTTGCCTAACATCTGCATGAGCTGCGGCAGTGTGGTCTCTCAAAGCTTTTTTTTGTTTTTTGGTCACGAGGCCTAACTAATGTCTACCTGCCTGTTTCTCTGAGTTAGAGTGCTAATATCACACTTTAGCAAGATTTTCTTCACTAAAAGTGCTGCCAGTGGCTGTTCATACTGTTAAAATTCACTTAAATCTAAGAGCTTTTTTAGGACAACAATTTTTTTAATATTCACCAGAATACTGAGTGAAGTGGTGGCCAAAGGTTTTGTGACTGACTGAAGTTTTTTTAATTCTACAAACTTTATTGCTTCAATGTTGTTTGATCCTTTAGTCAGATGTTTCTGTTGTTTACTGGAGTTTCGAAAGGTTATGATATAATATATGTTTTACATTGAGTTTTGATCCATGCAGCAGTTTCTCACTGTGTTTGCCTTAAAGCTGTTATCCATTCTGCTAGATTTATGGCGTTGTTTCTAAACCAAAATGTGACTGTTCACCTTTTCCCCGTTAGAGAATTTGTTTTTTCCAGATGCCCCTGATAGTGTTTATGGGTCTTTATCTGAGAATTTCACTTTAGCCCTGAACCCTGCAGTCCAGATGGTATATTGTGCAGAATCTCAGCCTGTCCTTGTCCTATTAGTTTGTCAGTCGTCACTGCTGTGCTGTCCGTCTGAAACCCGGCAAGAGTCCAAAACGATAACGTCTCATTCAGACAACACTCAAGCCTTGTCGTTGCTATTCCTGACTGAGCTCTCCAGTGGTGGTAATACAATACTGAAAAGTTGGATGAGAAACTCAAATTTGCCTGCTGTCATTCATTCCAGAGCAAGATATGCATTGTTGGCAACCCTTAAAGCTACAGAATGTAATGTTTAAAAAAATATGTTTTACATATTTGTTCAAACTGTCATCATGTCTTGACAGTATAGTATGAAACAGATAGTCTGCATAGAGAGAAAGGTTCTTCTCCTAGTGCTAGGATCGCCCTCTGTTAAAATTGAGCTTTCCCGGTGACAAATCACCAATCAGAGCGCTGTCAATCATGTACGCGCTGCTCAGTGTGCTAATGGAATCAAATTGCAGAAAACTGTTTATCCAGTGGTCATGATAACTAGCCTGAATATTAACGCCCAGCTGTATGCGTAGCGGAAAGAAAAGGGGAGGTTGTGAGCGACTGTCAAGCCTGATTGACAGCGCTAAGGTCCTCCTCCTGGCTCTGATTGGTTGTTCTAAGTGACCGTTGTCGCTGTGCAGATTGCAGCAAGGAGAAGGCAGATGAATCTGTTACGACATAGTGACAGTTTTAACAAATATGTAAAAAACATTTTTTATATAAAAGTTACATACTGCAGCTTTAAATTTTGAGATTGGGGTTGCAATTTTTTTTTAAAGTGCCTTGAGACCACATTTGCTGTGAACTGGTGCTTTCACAAACGGTGGGTTTGGCTTGTCCAGCAGCAATATCTTTTCAAGTAATTCATTTTACCCAAAACACTTATGACATATTTCCTTAAGTATTAACAAAAGATTTGATATGAAACAATAATTTTCTTTAAAAACAACAATCTTGCTGTTCTGATTCAGATAGAATCACAAAGTGATGACTTTAATAATTTCTTCAGGAAAGTAAATATTCAGGGCTCCTTGTAACACTGGGGCAGTAAAGGTTGAGTCAGTCTTAAAACTTTTGGCCACACATTTCTACGATGGAGTATTAGGGCCACACGAGGAGAATATGAACAATTAAATTACAAATTAAGTCATAATAGAATACACTTGTTTGAGAATAAAGCCATAAAATTACAAGAATAATCTCATACAAGGATAAAGTAATAATAGTTTAAGATAGAATCATAATACTACAAGAATAAAGTTGAAATAATACGAGAAGAAAGCCGTAGTTTTACGACTTTACAAAGTCGTACTATTATGGCTTTATTATTGTATTATTATGACTTTATCTCAAAATATTATGACTCTTTTTCTTGTGCAAGTTTATTCATGACATATTATAACTTCTTTTTTGTAATTTTACGACTTTATTCTAGTTGTTTTATTTTTCCTTTCTACGGCCCAAATACTTGGTTGTATTTTCCCATAGTTTAGGAGGGCTTTGCACTGTGCATTTTAGCAGCAATACAAACATTTTTCTTAGTCAGGTCTACGATTAAGACCTTCACACTAAATTTTGAGTCAATTCCAGCTAAGAATGGAGTCATCAGATGACTCGCAGTACTTTAACAGACCCAGAGAACAGTGTTGTGGGTCCTCACTAAGCCACGTTACGGCTCTCTGAGCCGTCAACGTACTCCCGGCCATTCTACTGTAATAATGACAGTGATTCTTGTCATTGTCAGGAAGAGGAGAAGTTGAAACTGGGGTGTGAAACCAAGCAAAACAGAGGAACAGCAAACAGAGAGAAGACTCATGTGGACTGTGAGATGGACGGCGTTAAAAAAACAAACAAACAAAAAAACAACTATGGGGATTTGCAGAGCCAGCAGCGAGTCCTTCCTTGTCATCGTTAGGGTGCATGCTTAAAATAGTAGGCTCAGCCCATCATTTCTGTATACAAATAATTCCTCGGTTGTCTGCAGAGGTCTTCATTGGAAGTTCTTCATCCCCTTTAGATCCAGAACAACTCATCTCCATCAGCAAACACATTTAAGTTGTTGTCGCATCTGCTGTGCCATGCCATAAGGCAGAAACTATGACAATGTAGAGCCTTTTATTTTGACGGCTCCACTGAGCACCTCAACCTTCAGGCGCCTCTGCAGAATGTCAGTAATTGCCTACTATTGAAGCCTCCTGGACTGAGCTGATCCCCGCCATGCTAACGTTTCTTAGGAAACAGTAACTGTCTGGATCTCGCTGTTGCAGCTTGCTTGAGGAAGAAATGCAACACACTTTGTGTTCTATGGTACCTCCTTACTGCTCTATGTTAGCATCAATGTAAAAGCTACTTTTATTCAGGGCTCAGTTCAAACTAAAATGATCATTTTTGCCACTTTTGACTCCTGTGTTGGTTATTTTTCTCTGATTGAGATTAATATACCCTAATCTAATTACGAGGGTGTATTAATGTCATTGTAGATTGAAAAAAAGGTTTAAAATTTCCATGAGATTAATCTCTCTTCTTGAAAAACAAGAACATTTCTGAGTTCCAAAGATTTTTTTTTCTACAGAATTTCTGCGATTAATCTCCAAATTTCAGTTTTTTCTTGCAAATTTTTGACTTTTCAAGCTCAGAAATTTTCACGTTTTCTTCTAAAATATTTTTGAAATTAATCTAAAAATTTCTGAGTTTTTTGTATAAAATTTGCTCCTTTTTTTTCTACCTGCCTTTGTAAAACATAGCATTATCCAAAATTTAATTTCCAAAACAAAACTCTAATATTTCAAGCGGCTGCTATGATGAATTATTATTCCTAATGAAAACCCAGAATAAAATACCAGAATATTACATAAGATCAATATCAGAGATTTTAATCCAGAATTAGGTCATGACCTACACAGTACAGGGAGGACTGCTGAGTTGACAGTTGTCCAGCACAGTCATTGGGAGGGTATGTCAGAAAAGGTCATTGCTACAGCAGCTGACGGCTCAGACTGCTACATCAGAGTCCATTAGTGGGAAGTTTAGGGAGGGAAGTCTTGTAAATAAAAAACCCACAAGACTTTTCAGGAAATTTCACAAGGCCTAGAGTCCATATTAAATATGTATGAACAATGGAATAAGATTTTAGTTCATTAAAACAGGAAAATAACACTTTAATGAAGAAAATAATGTCCAGAGAAGTGGACATGTTTCCATGTTCACATACAGTATTAGTTTGTTTGAAGTGTTCTCTAAAGTGAGTTATCTGTTTGATTACTGGTGGAAAACTATTCAAAATCTGAGATTTTTTAAAATGAGTAATCATTTGACTAATCACCTCCAGGACAAACTTCACATAAAAGACAAGACAATCTACTAAAGCTAATCGAATTTAAATGGCTTTTGATCTAAAACATGTTTGTACAAGTTTTTCATGACAGGTTTCTTGACAGTTATGCAATGATGTTTTAGAAAGATGGGATCAAAAACAACTCATTTAAAATCTCCTTCTGGATTTCTACAAGGATTACCATGACAAGGAGTTTTGGTCCAATTCAAGGACAAAACCTCCAGGTGGAACTGAACATCTCACTTTTCAAAAGTCCCAAATTTCTGATTTTAAAATTACTTTATTGATCGGATTTTAATTTTCCATTAAACATTTTAATAGGACTATTTTTTTTCTATTATTTGACTGTTTAAGGATGGCACAATTCAAAGGTACCCATAAAAACTTAAGTGTCCCATCTCCAACACACCTGAACCCAATATGTGGCTCAGTCTGTCTCTGAAGGATTCAGTTGTATTGAAGCAGATAAATCGATGAGGATGCGAGTTCTGACAGGAAGCTGAAGTTCTAACGTACACCACCAGGGGGAGGCAGTTTAACAGGAAGCTATTGATCGCTTGCTTTCTGTTCCATTACCAAGAGAGGAAAATTATCCCTGCCGCTTCCTGTCTATAAGCCAGCCATTTTCCATGTTGAAGGAAAAAAAAAAAGTGGGTCAAATGACATCAGCAGTTCCTAAAAACTGAAATACAAATTCTGAAAACTGATCTGGAAATAGGACAGACACGCAAGTAAAAAGACAAATTTATTTCTTAATCAGAATATACAAAGCAGTGGCTGAAGTAACCAAATGCCATTCTGGTTATGAAAAAGGCGGTCTACACAGAAGTGGGCTACTCAACCATAACATAAAACTCGTTGAAAATGCAAGAAAAAAAGTATAAATGGTACAAACTTGCGTGGAATGCATACAGAACAAATGACCAAAGCCGTAAGATTTAAGAGGGGTTAATTAACATTGCAAACTCCTGCCTCCACAGGAAAGGAAATTGTTACACAATCAGTGGAGGTGTGAGAGACAGCCCCTTTACTCATTTGCACCATCTGTTATGTTAACAGGGCAGGCAGGAATTAAGTAGCAGCTTAACACAAAAATTGACACCTTGTCTAATAATGCCAACAACTGTCTATTATCCCCTGCTTAAAACTTATCTTTGGTCCTTTTAAGTGTATCTGAGAGGTCAACATGAGCCTTGAGGGTGAGCAGCTGCCTGTATGTATGAATCACCTGGTCAACACTAGCATAGAGATTGTGCTTCTAACAGACTGATGTGAAACGTCAGGAAATGAAAAAACTGATCTTATGGCGTGGCCCGACTTGAACAAGTAGAAAAAAAAGCTCATTTTCAAGACCAATAAATAACATTTCATAAAAAAGAAGTATGCAGGGCCACTACATCTCAAAGACTCCAGTGCAATGTGAAAATATGGGAGTAACCAAAAGGAAAATCTCTATCGAAAACATAGAAAGCACAAGCTCTACGAAGCAATGTTGACCAGACTGGAAGGACAGTGCCGCAAACAAGTAGCAGGGTAAAGACTTAAGCCTCCACGTCTGCTTCTTTTGAGTCGCCATTCTCCTCTGTCTTCTGCTTTTTTGTCTCAGCCTTGTCCTGAAAGGAGAAAAACAGATTTAGGAGATAAGCAAAGCTGCACAAATCACCATATTACTCAAAGCAATTACAATTCAGCCTCATGACAACTCACCTCCTCCTCTTCAGCTGCACGCTTCACCGGCTGTGCATCGGTTTCCTCAGCAGGGGGCGCCGCCTCCGCATCTTCTGCAAAGACAGGGGTGTCACATCATAAATTACACCCTTTACGACCTATATCCAGGTAAGCACTTGCTCGGGGTGAACACCTAATCGGAATTCATGCATCAAGGGCAAAAAGAGATCAGAAGAAACATGTCAGCATTTCAAATCCGATTTATTCATCTTTGTTTGAAAAAGAAGTGAAACATACCAGCTCCATTCTTCTGCTCCTCCTCTGTAGTTTCTTCCTTTTTGTCACTGTGCTCAGCACCGTTCTGCAAAAAAACCAAAACAATTTTAACTTGCTTTAAAGGGAATTAAACAGATCCCAACCTAGCAAATGTGATCTCCTTTGGGGTCACTTAAAAAAAACAAGGGTAAGTGAGTGGAGGTCTTGTTACCTCCACAGAGGATTAACTACCAAGCTGTGAGAAACCACAGGCCAGAGAGGCCAACGGAGACGTCTATAAAAAAAAAGGGGGCTGCTTGCTCTAACATCTGTGCCATTTCACAACCCAAACAAAGCCTGGAGCGGAGGGAGCAGCTGAGCAGGAGGGGGAGCCGGGCGAGCAGCGACACCTGCACGACGAGGGGCGCGAAGACAAAAGGCCACGCGGCGGGGTTTGTGTCTCAGACTCACGGTGCCATTGGCAGGTGCGTCCCCGCTCTCGGTCGACTTCTCCTCCTCCGCCGCTTCTGCTTCTTTCTTCTCTTTCAGCTCCTACAAAATAAGAGCACCGAGTCAACGCAAAGTACACTCGCTCAAACCCAATCTTCTTTCGACAACCACAGCAACGAGACGCAATAATAAAAATGAGTTTGAAGCACAGAAATGGCTTTCGGTGGGTAACTGTTGGAGAGAAAGCGTTTCGGTCCCCATGCCGCGCAATGTGAACGCGCTTCGGCTTCCCGCCCACAGCGGCTCCGCTTCACCAGCTGCACCGTTTCAGCCGCTTTGTCTCCTCGAAGCGGTCCGCATCACGCTTTATTGGGCCAAATCCTTCACACACAACAGCTTCTCATAACAGAACATCGACGACAAATGACCTCCGTCGAACATGGACGTCGAAAAAATGTAATTTTAAGGCAGTAATTTACGAAATACACCGTTCGTTAAGTAGTTCCTCGAGTTGAATCAAGTCTTTTTAACACTCGGGTTGTGTACAACCTGTCCAGGCTGATTCAGTAAAACTGTTACGAGCTTAAAAAAAAGTTAGCTAAATCTTTTTTTTTTTTTTTTTAATACACTTCAAAGAAGAGATTGAAACTGAATAAGACGCACCTTGGCTGTAACCTCTGTGGTGGCGGTTGTATCAACAGCTGTATCGGCCATGGTGGGTTTTTGTGATTTATTTTATATAAATATAATCCTGTTGAGAAAGATTTTTTTTCCTCGGTCTCGTTGCCGTCGAGTGCTTGGCCCCAAAGACACTGAGAGAGAAATGATGTCTTCCCTTCTCCGCTTTTCTCTCGGGCTCGTTGAAAATCCACTTTCGTTGGACACCACAGCTCGCTCTGCCACCTGATTGGTTGAAGTCGACCGCTGCGGACAGCGATTGGCTGAGTCTCATGTCGATTACAACTATGAGGTCCGCCTTCCGAATATCACGTCGCTGATTGGTCAATTCTTTTTAAAGAGCTGTTATTTATTCTTTAACTAAACACATAAAAATGGTTAGTGTTTTCCAGTTTAAATGCGAACAATAGACTGGAATCAACAGTTATAAAGGTGATAATACAAAAATGATCATTTACATGTTTGTTTTAAGTGAATACATAGTTGCAAGTATCCCTACCATATGGCCAGAGGCAACATCTTTTGTCTAAGCGGTCTGTTCTGCAGAAGTAAGGTGTCCAATTACACACAAAATAGCAGGCGGCCACTCCTCCTTTCCATATTTAACTCTTCAAATGTGCACCAGATTAAGCGTGCTTATACTCTTTGCAAGACCTGGTTATTGCGCCTGCCTAAACAATTAGCACAATTTCTACATCTTTAATTTACTGCGCTGCAAATTAGTGGGCAACACAATTTCTGCACAACCAGGGGTATAAACATCCGTTTCTAAAAAACGTGTTACATTATTTAGCATCTCCTTAGTCCATTAACTTGGACAATAAATTGCTGTTATCTGTATTTACAAACTGTTAAAGCATGTTACTGCATATATGTCACTTGGAAAACAATGAATGTCAGTAAGATTTCTTTTTTTAATTAAAAGACAAGCTGAAATAATTAATGAACTATCCTATTTTTGAGTTTACTTGGGACAGTCTTTACTTCATCTTTCAACATTGTGTAGTTT